TTCTTCACTGCAATCCAGTTAGCTCTACCTAGGTTCCCTTGATGTGAAAGCCACATCAGGGTAAGTACATATCATAGCATACATGATCTAGCCAACGACGGGAGAATATGTAAATCGACTCATTTCCACTATCTCAACATCGATACTCGGACCCTAAGTCTTACTTAACTTGGTATTACTCTGGATTGGCAGTTCCCCTTTCTTGGAATTCTCCATGCTAAAACGTTCAACACCTTGTCCAAGTAAGTACTTTGACTAAGTCGTATTAGTCTTCTAACCCTATTTCTCAAAATCTTTATCCCCATAATATAAGCAGCTTCCCCTATATCTTTCATAGAAAAACACTTCCCAAGCCTAGACTTGACTTCCTGTAAGGTTGGGATGTCATATCCTATTAAAAGTATGTCATCAACATACAAAATTAGAAGCCTAACTATACTCCCACTAGCCTTGGGAACCATAGGTATGGCCTACTCAATGGTATAGATTAGGTGGGACCCGTAGTTGAGGCCTGTATGATTATGGAAATGTAGGTGGGACCTGGTACAGACCATTAAGGCAAGGTATTGGATCTTGGGTTGCACGATTGAGTGTGTGGTTAGTGAATGGCGTAGAGGGATGCTTAGGCTAGGGTAGCCTTGTCAATTGGACTCTTGGGAACCTATTGGTTGGACCAGGTGTGAGACTGGTAGTCTCAACGATGGTTTAGGAACCTTTATATCTCGGTTTAGTGAGGGTTTGCCATGAATCAGAAGGTTTTGGGTGAAATGAATGTGTAGATCCTTGGATCTCGGGTTTTGAGTAAGGTACCGAGTTAGATCTTGGTGGGAACTCTTGTTGGGAATTACGGGTGTTTATGTGCAAGGTCTTCATTTTAGTAGGATATGAATTAAGGAAGATGTATGCTAAGGCTATTAGTTGAAGGGATCAGGGTTAAAGGATAGTTTTTAGTTTTGATGGTAAATCAGGCTCTTGTGTTCATGTTTTGGATTTGTTCTACCTGTGTGGAGGTTAGGTAAGTATGGAATTTTAGGATCTTTGCAACGGTGTTGGTTCGGCAGTTAAAAAAACCAGTGTCTTGTTCAGTACTAGAAGTTTTATCTTCTAGTTTGTCTCACATTGTTCATTATATTCATGGAATTGTTATCATCAAGATGATCCTTCTCTCGAAGGAATATCTATCCTTTTGGTTAAGTGAAGGGTTGTCGGCAACAGTGTATGGCGTGTGATTCTATTTTCTAGTGGGAAACTTAGGTAATCAGAAGTTGAGTGGTCATTTTGGGAGATAGTGGAATGGAATTAGCAATAGTTCAGTATGGGCGGTCTGCCGGGGAGTCAGACCAATTTGTGGCTTCAAATTCCAGGTTGAGTAGAAGTGGTTATTTTGCATTGGATTGTTTTAAGCTGAGAAAGGATTCGTTCATCATCGGATTGGGAGAGCCCCACTAGGTTTGGTTCGGTTGCCTTTGAGTAAGTGCATTAGCAGCACCAAAAGGGTTCGAAGTAGACTTGGGAGACGGGAGATGAGTGGAGGGAGCACTATCCGGAGTTATTTGGAATAGCAGACATTGAGGATGAAGTCTGATTTAAGTGGGGGAGAGTTGTAACAATTGAATTTGGCCATGTTCTTTTTAGCCCCTTTGAAATTTGTTATTGCATTTTGTCCTTGGAATTAGTATATGGGGCATACCATTGGGTACGCTTGGCATACTAACTGAGAAGCTAGTATGTGTGGGGGGGGGTACCATATACTATGCTTAGCGTACTTAGTACAGTTGATCGCGAATGCGAAGCCTTGTACGTTAGGCGTACAAGGATTACACGAGGCATACAAGGGGTTAATGAAAATCCTATTTTTGGGGTGTTGCACCCTATATAAGGTCCTTAAGTCCCTAGGGTTCACCTCTTTACCAGCCTTAATTAACCTAAAACCCTAACCTCGAATCCTAATAGCCTCTATGTGTATTCTTGAGCCTCAGTCTTGATTTTGGTGGATTATGCTCCTTGAAGTGAAAGAAGAAGAAGTTGGTGGACTCATTCATTAGAGGGAAGCTAAGAGATCAAAATTTAACTCCATCTCTTGGTGACTTTTGAGGTATAAAGTCCTAACCTTGATCTTTGTAATCTTAGATCTCTTTATGTTAAGGTTATATGTTTATTGTCCCCTTTTGGTTGGTCTTGATGGGTTATGTCCGTTTTAGAAGCTAATCTTGCAGACCTGGATGTTTGGAGAGTTCATTAAGCTTAAAGGTGCAAACTTTATGCTTTTGATCATGCATGCATTAAGTCATTTATTAAGTCCATTTAAGCTTTAAGAGTTTTATTAAGCCATGCATACACGTAAAGTTAGCAACTTTACGTGATAAACCACCTTAAGGAAGTCAGATCTAAGTGTTTGAGCAAGGACTTGATCGTTTACGAGCCGAAGAGGGAAAGTTGGCTAAGCAGAGGAGTATGTTGGGCAAACAATCTCGTACGCACCGCGTAGAAGCCCTAAAGCCAGTATGCTTAGCGTACAAGCTGAGTATGCCCCACGTACTTAGCAGCTGCGCTTCAGTGTAGTCGGCTTTTCGATATTGGGTTATGTTAGACTTTGGTTGCCTTGGGCCTTGTTGGGCCATCAGAATTCAAGTGTTTTTGGCTAAGGAATATTTTTGGAACTTGGATTAAGACCCACGAAGGATTTGGGCCAAATTTAGAAAATTGGGCCATATTTGGGCCTTGGATGTTTATTTTGGAATTTTGAGCATTGGATAGTTGGATTGAGCTTGTGCCTTGGGTTAAGCATAGGGTAGGATAAAAAGGTCTTTTACCCTAGTTTAGACACTTATTGTGGGTCGGGGTCCGATTATTGAGGAATGAATATTTTGGTGATTTATAGCGTGGGGACCTTAGTGGGCCAGCAACCATAGATTCTTTCTGTGAGATTCGACAGAGCGAGGTGAGTTTCCTCACTATGTTTAGCGGGTTGAAGGCACCAATACCGGTCCATGGTTTGTTATATGGTGCTATATGTTTACGTGACTCTTGCATGTGTATGTGCGCATATGCTTATTGGGCGGGACCGATGTTTATTCTGTAAGCTAGTATCTGGATATGCATATATGATTTGCGTGTGGGCGAGGCCCATTACGTGAGTTTGGGCGGGGCCCATTTTACTCAGAGGGCGGGGCATGATGATTGTACACTATGTTATTATATTTGTGATTTTCACATGTGTTTGTATGTTTATATGATTATATGTTTTATGTGTTTACTGGGCGGGACCTGATGACTTACAGATCTGTATACCGAGCGGGACCCAATGTGGGCTAGGGCATATTATGTGTTTATTTATATATGTATGATATGTGGTATTTTGGGGAACTCACTAAAGTTTGTGCTTACGGTATTCAGTTTATGTTTTAGGTACTTCTGTTTCAAATGGAAGAACTCGGAATGACTGCAGAGCACACACCACATGTTTCCGCATTCTGTGATTTACTCTAATAATGATGATGTATTGATAACCCTTTGCTTACCTTGGTTTTATGAAAACGATATGATTAAATGGTTTATTTAATAAAAAATGAAAATTTTCATGGTCTTATTTTTGGGACGTTACACCAAATATGGTGTGGGCTGAGTCACCGATGAAGAAGAAGATGTCATATGGTTCGTCGCACCGGAATTGAAATACCAGTCTGGTCCGGTGGAAGAAACATGATATTGGGCATGAAAAGCTTTGGCGATATCAACATCATAGGTGGGAGCATGGGTGGCATAGGTGGAAAGATGAGCGCATACATTAGCATAATGATCGTTTGTACGACAAAATTGACAGTGCAGAGGATGGTGACCACATCCCCGACAACCACGGGAGGATCGACCACCATGACCTTGGTTAGAGATAGTATCACGAGACTGAGCGATATGCACAACAGATAAGGCGTTGGACCATGAATGGATTTGAGAAACAATTTGTGCCTCTCTGCCTACGCAAGAAGATCCCAAAAATAGAAAGGGTGACCAAGATGTTCGAGTAGCAGTTGGAAAATTTTCAAAGGATCTGCCAAGGCCACACAAAAACCAATGGACCTTATCAGATTCTTCAACGGGATAACCAATCGCCGATAACTAATTGTAGATAGCTGATGATAAATGGTCTTGAATTTATGACCATAATCAGTAATATTAGAGACGCCTTTAGACAATTGGCGGAGTTGATCTCATAGGTTTTAAATGCGCTTTACAGAAGAGTTGCTATAGGCGGTCTCAAGGGCAATCCATATCCGTCGAGCAGTATCCAAACCAATAGTTTCTAAGCAGGCCTCTTCGTGAGAGAGGCATGGAGGATGATAACAGTGTACTGATCAGCAGCAAGCCATGTTAAGTACATCGGATTTTGTTAGGATTTGTCATCAACAACGATCACTACTAGAAAAACAGCCTTTTACGACGCTCATTGCGCGCCGTAAAGGGCTCATACGACGCGCAAATGCGCGTCAAGGAAGGCCCTGTCATAAAGAGAGACGACGCGGTTTTGCGCGTCGTCTATAGACGACGCACATTTACGACGCTCATTTACAACGCCCAATTACGACGCGGGTTTACGACACGCAATGCGTATCAAGAAAGGCCCTGTCATAAAGGAAGACGACATGCATTTGTGTGTCGTAACCTTACGACGCGCGTGTTTATGACACGCATTGTGTATCAAGAAAGCCCCTGTCAAGAAAGGCCATGTCATAAATGAAGACGACACACGTTTTTGCGTATCGTAATTTTAATTTAAAAAAAAAATTATTTATAGATTTACTGAATTTCAAATTAAATTTGCATATCATGTCTCATAATAGAAAATAAAATACCATATTCAAAAAATACAATACATTGCACAAAAGTTAATGTCATACAAATAATCATTCCAATTGGATCTAATCTACTATCTACATCAAATTCCAACTAAGTAAAGTTGCACTTTGCCTTTCATAATTCTTTAAGACTAATGCTCTAAACATCTAATTATATGGATAAGCAGTTGTACATTGGCCCATCTCACTCAATAATGACTTAGCCAAATTCAACTCCAAGTCTTTACTGCATCTTGCTGATAATGCTGCAAGATTTAAATCAAGTGGCTTCATATTCCTTTCTTCCATCAACTTTACCTAATGCACGAAATACATTGAAAAAAAAACATTGTATAGGAAGGGGTAATTTGGGAAAATGTGAGGGGTATAATATAATAAGAATGCAAGTACTTAAAATTGCTACCAGGACTTACTTGAATCTGATAGACCCTTGTTGAATCTATCATAAACCCCACACATTGTTGAATCTATTAGAATCCTTTGTATCTCCATTTCTTTCTTTAATAACTCAAGACTAAGTCTCAATTGTTTGTAAACCTAGATTGAATATAATGGAAAAATGAGAACCAAGTATTTGAGAAACTTTTTTGGGCAAAAAGAAGCAGAAAACCTTTATGGAACATTAAATGTGACTTACATGTAGCTCTTCAAGCACTTGTTGGCATTGTACTTTGTTTGAACCAAATATTGCAGCAACAAAGTAAGCTAATCTTGGATAATTAAAATCACCCATATGTTGCAGAATATAAACAATTCAACCAAAAATGAAAACAAAGAAAGAAAAAAGTTAATTCAAACGTTATAGCAAATATTTAAAAGTAATAATAATAATAATATAAATATTAAAAAAAACTTATAACATTTCAAAATGGTTACCCTTGTATGGCCACTATATTCTGAATTTTCATCCACAATCCATTTCCCATTCATTTATCTGTAACAAAATTTAAAAAATAAAAATAAAAAAGTAGCTGCCCATATTCACGATATTCTTACTTATTGAAATTGACAACAGTTCTTGTATAGAAACATTCTTCTTGTTCTCATTTCATGTGTTATGTTGGAATTTAAATTCTAGATATTTTGTCACCAATCTTTCTATCATAACATAATCAATGTACTCATATTCTAGTAGCAATATTGAAATTTTAATTCTAGATATTCTGCAAAAACTCATTTTTGTCTCTCAGTACCCTGCAAAAAAAAGGAATAAGTTATTCTATCAAAAAGGAAAATCAGGAATTAAAGATACATTAAAGTGAAAGTCAATTAGTCAAACCTTTTGAAGTTTTTGCAAAACAGAATCTTCAGATGCCTCACCAACAACCTCTTCTTCATTTACATGTTGTTGACCATCAGAATACTTCACAGGCTCACAATTAGTTACTGTTGGTTGAATTCGTATAACCAATAAACAATTTGAATAGCTCACAATTAGTTTTCGTTGGTTGAATTCGTATAACCAATAAACAATTTGAACAAGTGCATACAAGTTCAGAAGGGAGATTTTTTCTTATGTACTCATCTGAATCTTCCTCCCACTCCATAATATCCTACTCCAAAAGAAGAAATTATTTCAATGTAAACATTACTTACTTGCAGTTAGGATTTTGATGCAAATGCATTTTCAATTAACAACCATCATAATACTTATAATAATAACAAACAACAATAATAAAGCAATAACTATCAAACCTTTTCATTCATAACTATTGCTGGAAAAATTGCCGACTCCAGCAAAGATGAAAAGTGGTGAAACAAGTCTCCATCCCTGTTTCCAGATGATTATAATTCATTTATAAGAAGGAATAGAATGAAAACAAATATAAAATGGCTGATTCACTAAATGAAAACTCACTGGGGCTATTTCTAGAAGTCGAGATATAACATCAAAAGCTAAAGACATAACCCTTTCTCCCAAATTATCCCGCTTCTGTATAAAACACATATTAAATCAACCCACTACTATATTAAAGGCTAAAGATAAAGTTAGAAGTAAAGATAGCAATAAAAAGTCAACCAACACTTTAATCCACTTGGAACCAAACACGCGAGGGCTGGTTCGGATTCGGCGTCACGGCGCTGCGATTTCGTTCCAGACTCGGTCAACAGTAGCTCTAGCAAGATCTTGAGTCATACCCTGAACTTGACTAGTAAGTTTTTGGCGAGTAGAAGTCAACTCCTTAATACCAGCATGTAATTGCATAAGCTCAGCACACATAGCTTCTACTCCATGAAGCTGAAGGAAAAATCATATGAATTTTTTTATAATCATATATGTAAATGAATTTGATAATCAGGTTTGCGTAGCAATAAACAAATAGTCAATCGGATGAAATAGATCTGTGTTAATGAACATATTTGAAGTCTATGTGACATTTATCGAACATAAATCCACTTTTTCTCAAATTTATTAAGCCTTAAATTAATGATTTAAGGCTTTATTTTGATTTTTTTTCTTAAAAATTCTCATCTCAATCTACAACTGTGAGACCTAATCCTTCCATTGCGATTTAACTAACATTCAATTAACTTAGTAAACCACATCCATTAATTAAACACAAAACAAATAGATCAGACCAACTGAAGCTGAAATTGGATAACACTAACGATATTAAATAGGGCTAGAATGTGAGAAATTAGAAGATCTGAACAACATAAAATGAAAGAAGGGATAAGAGATTACCAGTAGAAATGAGAAATTAGAAGATTCGAACAGAGAAATCTTTAATTTTGATCATTTATAACTAAAAAAATTGAAATATCACAGGTGAAATTAGATGTAAAACACATACCTCGATGATGTGGTTTTACCCAAGAATTCAGTGGTTCTGAGCATGGTGATGTACATTGAGTCGATTTCATGAGGGCTTTGGGATAGGATGAGGGTTTTTAGTGTTGGTAACCCTCCCTAACCTACACATACACCTAAATGTGGTGGTGTACCACTACCATTTTACTCTCCTCTATTGTTCCACTGGATTCTAACTGCCAACAACATTCAACATAAAAGGGAGAACAGAGAAAGGAGAAGAAAAATCAAGAAAAAGGAGAGCGAGAATAAAGATAGTAAAAAATGAGTAGATGAGATGGTCCAACAACTTACCTGATGGAAGAGACCGAGGGAGGAACAATGAAGACATGTTGGGACAGTGATGGAAGCGAGGAGCATGGTCGTCCAGGTTTTAGGGGAGAAATCAAACTAGTTTCTTCCTTATTTTTGGAGGACGGACCTGAAGAGACCGAGAAGAAAAATCCCTAGTTGGATGATTTTATGACGAGGAGGATGGTCGCGGGGAGGTGATCCTATACTCACCGGAGAAGAAGTAAGCCTGAAGTGAGATCGTCAATTGTTGCAGAGGCCTGGGAGAACAGATCGAGAATCGGAGAGCATTTTGAATTTTATTGAAAAAGCCCTAGGTAGAATGATTCTTGAAAAGCGCTACGAATTCAGATGAGAAATTAGGGCTCGTATGAAGCTGTATCTCTTCCGTCGAGAACCCTATGGGTTTGATCTGTTCAAAAGACGGGATTATATTGCGATTTTGTTGTGGAAAAAAAGAGGATTGGTGATGTTATTAGGGTTTTTTGGGTATTAGAGTGAGAGAGATAGATAGATAGATAGATAGATAGATAGAGAGAGAGAAGAACGATGGAAATAAGGGAGAGGGTAACAAGAGTGACAGAGATAGAGAAAGAGAGAGAGAGAGAGAGAGAGAGAGAGAGAGAGAGAGAAAGAGAGAGAGAGAGAGAGAGAGAGAGAGAGAGAGAGAAGAACGATGGAAATAAGGCAGAGGGTAACAATGGTGGCCTTTCAAACTTTTGGGATTTTCGTTTCCCCCCAGCTGCAAAAGAAAAGAACGCGCCTTTCATTAAAAAAAAATATAAAGCGACATTTCTAGACGTCACCCATTTTTAAATATGTGCCCTTCGTGTTTTTTTTTGTTCGACATTAATTTTAGGGCACGCATAAAAGCGTGTCCACTATCCTTCAAATTTTAGAAGAGATAACATTATTTTTAGGGCACATGCTTTTGCGTATCGTAAATCACCGCGTGTCATTGTTTGCGCGTCATTAAAGGGCTGTTTTCTAGTAGTGGACTTCTGTGGGCGGAGCACAGGAGGTACCGTCAATATGACCCGTTAGATTTTGATGTATGAGGAGAGGAATAAGTTGACTCTTCCATAACAAATAGTTTTAGGGGGAAAGGCGAATAGTGATGAGATGCATAAGAGTGTTAATGGGGATGAGGGTGTCAGCGGAGGTGGAACCTGCCATGGATTAGAAGAGAGGAAAAAAAACATGCAGAAGGAATTGAAGAAAGATAGGATCTTTAGGAAAATGATAGCATGACAGAAAGTGTCTCCATGCCAAATACGGTGGGGAAGCATACAATTTATAATAAGAATAATTTACATTTACAACTCTTTGCAAATAAGGAAAAGTATCAGAAGATGAAACATCACAATAAAGAATGGAAAGTATGAGAGACCTATGAGTGTCTAATAGAGTACATATATTCTATCTTTAACCTTGGACAAAAGAGACAACTTTTAAGAAGATGCCTTGAGAGAATTGACCTTTAATACTAAATATGCTTTCTAGCTATCTTAACAAATTTTGGCTGAGCTAGTTGTATAAAGAATCCTCCCTGCTATGTGTCGCTTGAAAGTCCTATGTGGTTGGATGACTTGTCAACCATGTTATGTCATGCACATCCATTGGTAATGACTCCACACTTCAACTTTTTTGATAGACTCCTGCGAATATGAGTGCAACATCCCTTTTTGTCATTTCTTCTAAGAAAAAAGATGCACATCAAAGTTGCCAAAAAAAACATCATTAGTGATGCTTTTAATTTTCAGCAGCCAATTTAATAAAAAACAGCAAATATATTTTTCTTATGGCCCACCCAAGCACCTTATAGACATGCAAAAGCTTGAGCACTAGTATCAACATCTTCTCTACTTGTCTGCTGAACTTTTCTCAAATAGGTGCCCTGATATATGTCAGGCACACCATTTGATCAAAACTCCACACTTATTCTCGTGGGCAGCCCTATGTGAAAATATGTCCAGTTTACTTTCTTGCTTATAAATATGCATAACTTCTCAGTTTCTTTCCTACTCACAACCACAACCTCAACATTTCTTCATAGTCTTTCATCAAGGAAATGTTGTCTGTTAACTGGGAGAACAATGACAATGGCTGCTACTATGCACCAGCAGCCAGCTTAGAAGGAGATGGAGACGATGATGATGGAGATTACGACTATGCCCCTGCAGCATGATTTAGTAGATGAATATTTAACATTAACTCTAACATTGAGAAAATATCAGGGACCACAAACCTATTCGTGGGGCTTTTGTGAATTTTTGTATTACTCTTAAATGGTTTAGTGTGTAACAGTGTAAGAATATTTTTGCTTCTACTTATGAGATGTAGGTGCCTATTAATCAATGCGTATGAGACAAATGATGATCATAGTTTCATGTGTGATTGTTTGTTAAGGGGCCATGATGATCGTAGTCCCATGTTTTTAATCAATATGATTTAGTACTATGAGTTACGAGGCATATTAGGTTATGTTTGAACCTCAAAGTTTTATAAAAGGGTTATATTCATACTATAACTTGGTGGATCAGGCTAATTTCGCATTCTCTGATTTTTACATACAAAATCATCAATGTTCTGGAGGATTGTAAATAATTCCAAACTAAAAAAGTAATTTCCTCTTTCCATTATTTACTAATAAAAAACAATCTGTTAGAATGAAAGCTTGTAATGATCTTCTTGAAATTATGGTCGACGGAAATCAGGCAAAGATAATGATTTAAAGAATATGACCACGCATGCTTTGCATTGCCGCACACATGAAGGATTATGCTGATGACAATGATAGGATTGCTCTAATTTTTTTAACTTTACCCTCTTCAAGTGGAATTCTTGAGGAAGTAAATAAATAAATGTTAGTTTGTATATATTTTATTACTGGTTGTATAATGTAGGGTCCTATATATAAATATTGTAAATATTGTATCAGTAACCTATTAAGTACGGGTGTGCAAAAAAACCGCAAAACCGAAAAACTGAGTCGAACTGGTCGATCCGAAACCGAAACCGAAACCGAAAAAATCGAAACATAAAAAAACCGAAACCGAAAAAACCGAATATCAACGGGTCGGTTTTGGTTTGGATACTTAGGTATCCGCGGATAACCGAACCGAACCGCTTGATATATATATATATATATATATATATATATATATATATATATATATATATATATATATATATATATATATATATATATATATATATATATGTAAAACTTTTAGCCATATCCCAAACAAAAATCATGAGCGGTTATTCCAATTTTACACTTCTACATTATGTTTTCTTCTATTTTTATTTTTATATTTATTATACCAATTATAATGTATGTTATTTGACCTTCATTATGCTTTTATAATTCTTTGGACTTAGTAATTTTTAGAAAGAAATCGTTGGAATGAAGTTTGTAATTTTAATTGTATTTGAATTTTTATATTTAGCAGGTACCCGTGAACCGAACCATGGTTACCCGCCATTATACGGTTCGGTTCGGTACGGTTTTTGTGCTAATTCGGTTCGGTTTCGGTTAGTGCATATGAAGTACCCGCCTCGTGATGACGGTTCACAATTTTATTACTATCCGAACCGAACCACCCCGTTAACACCCCTACTATTAAGCAATGGAACAAGGTGGAATACCAACAATAAGGCCTTAGGGGCCGAAACTAAAATTTACAAAAAATTATATATATATATATATATATATATAATATATATATATATATATATATATATATATATATATATATATATATATATATATATAGGTGGGTTGAATTGAGAAAATAAAAAAGGTTGAGAATGGAAGAATCATTCTCAGTCACTCATTTATCTAAGCATAAAAAGACACGGTGGCAAACTTGTAAATATGTTAATAACCTTCAATCTCAAACACGTAGCTATATAGAATTCAATAACACTTCATTCATCATCAAAATTTTTCCTCCAATCTTCAATAATCATCCAGATTTCTTCAACTAAACCGGAATTTCTTCGATGTTAATGAAATTAGAATCAGAGTTTTGGACTCTCAGTCACAGTCGACATTGAAGGACTCAGAATCGGTACTCACAGGTTCCCAATCGGATTTTCAGAAATCAAAATCAAAATGAGAAATCGATCAGACATAAGATGTCACATCTGAAGTCGAAATCGGAAGTATATATGATTATTTGGAATTGATAACTTGATGTTTTTAACATTTTTAAAATAATTAACTTGTATGCACTCCAACTGTTTGATGAAATGCATAAATTAAATTATCACGTTATATTCACATATGAATATGTTTTTTCACCTGAATCAGTATATGATTATTAAAAAACAAAACAAATATGTAAGTCTGTATGTTATTCACATGTGAATAACATATAAAAATTATATGTATATATATATATATATATATATATATATATATATATATATATATATATATATATATATATATATATTTGTCAAAATACCTTCAAATATTCATAAGTGAATATATTCACAAGTGAATATACGTTGTAATATTCATATATAAATATACTGTGTAGTATTCATAAGTGAATATCTCATCTAATATTCACAAGTGAATATACTATGTAATATTCACATGTGATATACCATATAATACTATGTAATATTCACATATGAAATATCATTTAATACTCATAAGTGAATATACCATCTAATATTCACAAGTGAATATACTATGTTGATATTCACAAATGAATGCATCGACCAATATTAAAATATATATATATATATATATATATATATATATATATATATATATATATATATACTTTATAATGCATTTATAATAGAAGTTCAAAAGTTTTTAAGATTAATTCTTAAAAACAAGGAGGTGAGATATTAACCTTAGATTTAATTGGGTGGTATAGATTATTATATTGTTGTGATATATGTCAATACATTTAAGTCAATCAAAAACAAGCATTCACACTATAATATAGAAGAATTGATCACTATGTTTATTCTAAAACAATACATCCATATCTCTAACTTTTTCTATCAATATACGGTTCCTATACTCTCTCATTATATCTCTA